ATATATATATATATATATATATATATATATATATATATATGGAAGGCACAATAATGGGCCCCCCAAGATGTATGTCCATGTTATTATCATCCCTGGGATTATGTTACCCTGTATTGCAGAAGAATTAAGAATCTTAAAATGTGGAGTTATCCAGGTAAGGCCAGCGTGATCAGTAGGGTCCTTGTAAGACGCAGGCAAGAAGGTCAAAGTCATAGAGAGAGACATTGGAAGATGCTATGCTACTGCCTTTGATGATGAAGGAAGAGGCTACAAGCCAAATAAGGTAGGCAGCCTCTAGAAGCTAGAAAAGGCAGGAAATGGATTCTCCCCTAGAGCCTCCAGAAGGAACACATTCCTGCTGACACCTTGATTATAGTGCTGAGTACTATTTCAGACTTCTCATCTGCAGAAGTATAAGATAATAAATTTCTGTTGTTTTTAGCTACTGAGTTTGTGGCAATATGTTACAGTAGCAGTAAGAATACAACATACACATGGCAAAGAACATGTCCAGAGTATTTAAAAATTCTTATACCTCAAATTCTTTAATGAGAAACCAACAATAACAAAAGGGCAAAAGATGAATATCCATACTTCTCAACACAATGGCTACTAAACACGTACAAAAAGTGCTCCAAAACAGTCACCATCAGGAAAATGTCGTGTTTAAAACCATAATGAAGTAATATTCTGCTCCTATCAGAATGGCTAAGATGACAAGTGCTGACAAGCGAAGAGCATGAGGCGTTAGTAAAAATGTAAAACAACTGGAACACTATACATTGCTGCTAGAAGCATAAAATGGTACAACCATTTTGGAAAGAAGATACAGGCATGGGGGAACATGTCCCCCAAAAACTGTAAATGAGTGTTCCTAGCAGCTTTCTTCATAATAGCCAAAAATGAGAAACAACCCCAAATCCTGTCAGTCAGTGAATGGAAAAAACAAATGCACCTTAGATATATAATGGAATACTACTTGGCAATGAAAAGGAAGTAATGAGTGATAAATGCAGGAACATGGATGAATCTCAAAAACATGCTAAGAAAAAGAAATGAAACATACAAAGTCCATGATTATATTTTTATGAAATTCTTCAACGGGCAAAACTAACCAATAACAACAGAAAGCAGGTCAGTGGTTGCCTAGGACCAGGGGTTAAGCTGGGAGGGGACTGACTGCAAAGTGGCACAGGCAGCTTGTGAAGTGAGGGACACGTTCTGCATCTTCATTGTGGTGGTTGTCATACGGGGTATATATTTGTCACAACTCATCAAACTCTTCTTGAAGTAGAGGTACTTTACTGTATGTAAATCATACTTCTAAATCATAGCTCAATAAAGTCGATTTTAAAAGAATAAAAGGTCTACATCAAATAAAGAAATCTGTCGGTCTCTAAAGCTAAGTTTTCCCCATCCCATCTGTACTATATGCTTACTTATGCTGTAGAATAGAAGGAACACGAGTCCATGGGCAGCTGGGTGACAGATCTTAAGTACAGAAACAGCACATGCTTACCTGTGGTGCTACATAATAAGGGGTGAACTGGGGTGTCATCAAGTCACCTTGGTCAATTTTGGCAAATCCAAAGTCACACAACTTCACTGGTGCATCCTGAAATTTTAAAAAATGGGAGTCACTGCTCCAGAGTGCTCAGTAAATATTAAAGGAAAATCCAGGTATAAGACAGGTTACCCTGAGCTCTAACAAGTTTCTTTCTGGCTGAGATGTGAGCTTATGAAAATAACATGTCCCAGGTCTGGAGACAATGATTCACGTTGAGGAACTGTTCTTAGCAATGCAGAAGTAAGGAATTCCTACCCACTCACACAGCTATCTTTGCTTTAGAACTCCTAAGGACAGCACTAAAATCAAGGTCTTCGCCTAGTGCCCCTTCACTCTAAGAGCCCATCACCTCTCATCTATCCGGGGTGCTGCTTCACTCTTAATATCTGCCGTAAGCTTCATGAGAGCCAGAGCAACTTATCTGGTGGGACTTGGGGCAGGGGACAGGGCTGAAAGGGAAAACAGCAAATGAAACCATCAAATTTCAAGGTAATACATAACAGCATATAGATTCCTGCCCCTTCCCAAATAATATCTAAAATCCTAAGTCCCACAAATACATATCAGTATCATCCAAAATTATCAATGCCAGGGGTAGTACAGCTTCTCTGAGCTTCTAGCAACGGAATGGGTTAAGCTGTTTGAGGCACTTTGGCCTAATCCTTCTTCACCATGAATTCAGAGCACTCCAAACACACCCACTCCCGAACTATGTTAAGAGTAGCAGCACTAAAATGCAGAAAAACAAGTCTTCTCACCAAAGAGTTGTCCTTAAAAAGCAGATTTTCAGGCTTGAGGTCTCTGTGCGCGATGTTTAACAAATGACAGTGCCGCAGAGCCAAAGCTATCTGAAAAAAGACACAATGGAACACCCGCTTCTTAGAAAAGATCACTCTTTAACACCCCTGGTGTAGAGAACTCAGGATGTTAAAAAACAAGCCTTCATTAAGACTGTGTTCAGTTTCAATTTTAAAGCAGAAATTAAGAAAGACTTGGAATACCAAGAAACAGAAATGGATTAAGCTTAGTTTAACTGCAACTTGTATTCTGTCAAACAGAAAGAAAAATACGATGGTACAGCAATCTTTGTCAGAGTAAACTGATGGGTAAATCCTGTAAGAAATGAAACAATGAAATGCTCTCACTTTCATTCATCTGAGGTATGACAGGCACTGCAAAAGAAACACCTAAGCTGAGCAATGGTCAGCAGGTGCGGGTTTCCCACAGCAGGGCTACAGGCAGGATGGCCTGGCTCAGACAAGAATGGCACTCTCCAGGAAGCTGAAAGTCAAGAAATCAGCTGACTGGGTTTTTCCAGCTAATACTGGAAACTCATTTTGCTCATCATACTTGTTGAAAATGTTGCCTGTTTATGTGGATTTGAAGGGGTTTTGTTTTATCGAAGATTATCAGAGCTCATCCTTTAATCCTAATACTTGAAAAAATTAAAGGTATAATTTTAAAAATCAAACAGAAGGAATAGATTCTACCTGTTCTTTAACTCTCAATATGGAATTTTCTCAGCAATCCAAATATCAGTTCCTCCCTACCAGAAAGGAGGCATCCAAAATTGCGTAAGGTTCACAGAAAACTTGGAAGAATTTTTTATTAAGAAGCAATTGGGCTATGCTTCCTAATTTTCTGCTTTGCTTGCTTGGTATGAAGATAAGCCTTGCAAGTTTAGCTTTTCACCTCTCCAAGAAGTGATTATCAGTTGAATTCCTAGCATTGTTTGCGACATAAATTATTTCTATAGCAATAAAATGTGATGTCAAAATAGAATATAACCAGGAATAATCCAGAATTACAAAGATCTTAGTATATTATTAAATCTAAAGAAATGACAGAAAAGTGACTCACAGGCAGGAAGCATCTTTGAATATATTTTTATACCATACAATCTTTCAGACGGTATCAGCAGCATTTTACCTCAAAGTCCAATAACAGTACTTGGTAGCTACATGCCTGGAGATACCTGCAGTCTACTAAGGAGTTAAAATCACCTTCCCTCCAGAGTTTATGGAAATCTCACAGTAGCCTCAGGAAACAGTTGACAACCAATTAAGAACACAAGTCCCCCCCCCTAAGTATAAAATGAGTCACATTTCTCCTGTCAAAACATCTTTTCTGATTACATAACAAAGCAGGCAATGAGAAGTCAAATAGAGCTTTTCTTTAAGGATTCTTTTATTCCCCCCAATGAAATTGCGCTTGTTAACCAACTTTGTTGGCAGTTTGATTGGTACCTGGGGTTAACTTGCCTGCTTTGTTACTTGGCTGGCTTGCTTCTCTGTAAAGTGCCGGTGCTGGCTGATTCTGTGAAATAGCTCTCCCCCTTCCATCATCTCCATTACAATTAAGAGTCGGGCCCTGTTTGAAAGCATTTGATTTTGTTAAGTTTAAAAAAAAAAAAAAGAAAGAAAAGAAAAAGAAACAAAAAAACCCTGAAACATTAAGAAGCTGACCTGAAGATATCTCATCTACAAAGTGTGTAACAACTTCCTAAGTCCAAGGTAAGACAGCTACTAAGAGCAAAAATTCTCATGTTCTAAAAAAACTTTTTAATGTGATTTTTGCTTCCAGCTTTCTTTCATATATGCTTCCAGCTTCTATCCAAATGCTTTCACCAACAGAGCACAGTTGTGAAAAATAATTGTTTGATTTCCCATTTGTTTTTAAAATTCTGTCTTCTTTTTCCATCTGGAAAATTCCTACTCTTGCTTCAAGTCCCGGCTTCCACAGAGCCTCTGTGAGACACTTCTCCTTCCAGACTATAGTTAGCAGCTCCTCTCCTTTGTACGCTTAGAATATTTCAGGATGTGGGGCCGGGCATGGTGGCTCTGTAATCCCAGCACTTTGGGAGGCCGAGACGGGAGAAACACGAGGTCAGGAGATTGAGACCATCTGGCCAACATGGTGAAACTCCATCTCTACTAAAAATACAAAAAAGTTAGCTGGGCATAGTGGCGCACGTCTGTAGTACCAGCTACTCGGAAGGCTGAGGCAGGAGAACTGCTTGAACGCAGGAGGCGGAGATTGCAGTGAGCCAATATCATGCCACTGCACTACAGCCTGGATGACAGTGTGAAACTCCATCTCAAAAAAAAAAAAGACTATTTCAGAGATGCCTATCCTTAGTAGCTATTGCACTGCTATGATGATGGGTTTACATCTCAGTCTCCCCCCAAAAACACATACTTTAATTTTGAATTCCATCAAAGAGACTTAGAATGCCACCCAATATGCTTGCCAAACATTTAGTAACTAAAAGAATCATGTTGATTTCTTTCTTTAAAGTCAGACTAAGCAATAAAGGCTTTTTGTTTTATCAGCCTCTAAGACTTTGCCTAGAATAATATTTGGGCCCCTTTTGCTGATTTGAAATAGAACCTGTTTAATTAAATTCCACTTTAAATGCTTTCTTTAAATGAGAAAGTAATCAGAATAATCAGGGAACCTGAAGTGGTAGGGGCATAGATGAAACTAGACTGACCATGAGAGGATTACTTTTGAGGATGGATCAAGAGAACTTGGGGATTCATTACATAATTCTGTCTGCTTTTACAAATGCTTGAATTTTCCAAATTACAAAAAGGGAGATTGAGGGGGAAAGGAGGGAGAGAAGGAAGAGCAGAGGAAGGGAGGGTAGGAAGGAGGAGAGGGAGGGGACAGAGTACATAAAAGAGAGGACAACTCCACTACATCTGGGCCTACATATGGGCACGTGATGATAATACCTTGTAGTCTTACCTAGGGCTGGACTCATGAGGAAACTGGACACTGTTAGCAAACACTTCAATAATCTGAACTATGTTTGGGTGTGTGGCACACATCATGTGTAGACGTACCTTAAAGAGAAGAGAGGAAATGTTTCCATAGGTAGGGGATACCAACAATTTCTCTCCAAACTTCTCTCCAAAAACTGATCACACTAGGTGCAAGCCTATTACAATAAAAACTTTATCACCCAGAATGATATAAAAAGCCAGTGTTTTCAAAGATTATCTCCTTAATGCTTTTTCCATGAATAAAACCTCATCAACAAATTTACTTCCTACTGTCCCGTTTATTTGCAAATGAAAATCTGGCAAACAGCTCATTTTAGAAATTATTCACATATGTTTATGCAAAAGAAGTCCTTAATTGCACATATTAGCATGTCATTACCATATCCAGATAATTTAAAACCAATGTATAGCCAGGGGCAGTGGCTCACACCTGTAATCCCAATTCCTTGGGAGGCCAAGGCAGGTGATCACTCGAGCCCAGGAGTTCGAGAACAGCTTGGGCAATATGGCAAAACCCCATGTCTACAAAAAATCCAAAAAGAAATTAGCCAGGCATGGTGGCACATGCCTGTAATCCCAGCTACTCAGGAGGCTGAGGTGGGAGGATCACTTGAGCCCAGGGAGGTCAAGACTGTAGTGAGCCGTGATGGTGCCACTGCACTCCATCCAGCCTGGAGCTACTAAATGCAACTACTAAATGCCTCTTTGCAAGTATATTTTATGAAATTCTAGAAAGACTAGTCAGATATATGCTGCCATGCTGTAGAGGCCTATATCCCTGACCAAGTTGATTAAATTATTGTAATAACTGAATAAAGAACAAGACCCTGTCACAAACAGAAACAAACACAATGTATATTTTTGAAAACTAGAAACATCCTCAGAATCCTCCTGTAGCATCACTTTCTATACATCATTCACCTGACCCTTCCTTGTGCTATTTCATCTCCAACTTCAAGTACCTTTTTAAATAGGCAAAATTGAAGTAATCTGAATACATTAGGGTCCAAGAACCACATTAATTTTAAAAGAACAAGAGGTGGCTGAAAGGAAATGACTCAACGGCTTTTGATACTGACAGATCTAGGACTATTCTAAAATGATACCATGAATAGGGAAGAGAGGTGAAGTTTGGACATAAAACTTTCTTTGCATCTCTGTATTCTCTCTAGGAAGCTGCCTTACTTGCAAAAAGAACAATTCTTAGGCATTTCAAATATTTAATTAAGTCGAGGCAATAAAGCATACCTCGTTTCTAGCTTTTGGACGATCAAGAAGAATTTTCAGTGCAAACCGTTCTTGGGTAGATTTCTTCACACAGACTCTAGATTTGGAGGAAAAAATCAATCAGAGATCATACATGTTACAATGAAAATTAACAAGTTTTTTCTTTGAGATTTGTACTTCTCATCAAGGATATAGCCAAGTGCATCAGAACAAACTTGCCTCCAAGGGTAGCAGGTAGGGACATGGGCCTCTGCCGAGCCGCCAATGCTCAGCCCTCAGCTACTAAGCAATGCAATAGCAACTCGCTGCTGTGGGTCAATGAAAAAATAATGGCCTCAGTTGGCTACAGGTGACTCTCACAGTGGCCCCACAGTCTCAACATCTAAAATGACTCCATAAAAAAGACCATGCAACTTGGTCACTTAATTTCTAAATACATGAGAAAAAGCCTAACATAAAAACCTGTACTTATTAAATTCAGGCTATTTCTCAAACCTAGTACACCTAATGTGTCTAATTCAAGATGTATTTCAAATGGCCATTTCAGAGTTTGCACATGCCAACATTTTGCCATAATTCTCATATGGATCTCTTACCTAACTGGACCACTAATTCCAGCTCCCAGCTTCTGAGTCCAATTGATATTGTATTCTTCTAAAATGGAAGTTTCCTATTAATACAAAAAAACGGGAGAGGACAGAGAATGATTCCCCAGTTAAAGGTAAATAAGCAGAGTTGGGACAACAGAAGACCCATCATTCAACAGCTCATCTTCTAAGAAACTGATAAGCAAAATTTTGTGTTCTGCGGGGCTTTATAACTAGACATTTTGTCCACATGACTCCGTTAGACATTGTTTTCCAGTTTTCCAACAAGAAAGCAAAGACTTCAAGATAAAAAGAAATTATTCAGCTCACCTACAAGGTTCATATACTTAGACAATCAATGCTTTGGGGGGGATCTGAGAGGAAAATATTTTTTTCAAAATGCATCAACTACTAAATGCCTCTTTGCTACAATGGTCAAATATATATATGTATACACACACACACACCTTTTTTTCTTTTTTTTGACACAGAGTTTGGCTCTTGTTGCCCAGGCTGGAGTGCAATGGTGCAATCTCGGCTCACTGCAACCTCTGCCTCCCAGGTTCAGGCGATTCTTCTGCCTCAGCCTCCCAAGTAGCTGGGACTACAGGTGCCTGCCACCACGCCCAGGTAATTTTTTATATTTTTAGTAGAGACAAGGTTTCACCATGTTAGTCAGCATGATCTTGATTTCCTGACCTCCTGATCTGCCCGCTCGGCCTCCCAAAGTACTGGGATTAGCCACCTCAGCTGGTCTGGGCAAGCATATTTTATGAGATTCTAGAAAGATTAGCCAGATACATGCTGTCATCCTATAGAGGCCTATATCCCTGAACAAGTTGATTAAATTATTGGAATAACTCAATAAATCGAGACTTAAAAGTTCAAATAGTAATAAATATCATAGTAAACATCTAATTTCCAACAGTATACAGACCAATTCTATTCTGTCATGTTCATTATATAAGTATATTTCTGATATAAATAACTTTCAACAGTTTAGAATACAGCCTCTATAGTTTAATAAAAGTTTTAATGGAATTCTTGGGTAATCATTGCATGTTAGCCTCTATTGCTGTATACTTTTAGATAAGAAAGAATTCCATTCATTCATTCATTCATTCACTCACTTATTTATTTTAAGAGACAGGGTCTCAGCTGGGTGCGGTGGCTCACACCTGTAATTGCAGCACTTTGGGAGACCGAGGCAGGCAGATCACAAGGTCAAGAGATCAAGACCATTCCGCCCAACATGGTGAAACCCCGTCTCTACTAAAAATACAAAAATTAGCTGGCTGGGTGGCGCATGCCTGTAGTCCCAGTTACTGAGGAGGCTGAGGCAGGAGAATCACTTGAACCCAGAGGCAGAGGTTGCAGTGAGCCAAGATTGCACCACTGCACTGGAGCCTGGCAACAGAGCGAAACTCTGTCTCAAAAAAAAAAAAACCGGCCGGGCACGGTGGCTCAAGCCTGTAATCCCAGCACTTTGGGAGGCCGAGGCGGGTGGATCACGAGGTCAAGAGATCGAGGCCATCCTGGTCAACATGGTGAAACCCCGTCTCTACT